AGAAGGGGAAGGAGAGGAGATAGGAGAAGGGGGAAGAGAGGAGAGGGGGAGGAGAGGAGAAGGGAAAGGGGAAGGAGGAGAGGAGAAAGAGAGGAAAGGAGAAGAGGAAAGGGGAAGGGGAGGGGAGGGAGGGGAGATGGGAAAGAGGAGGGGAGGAGAGGAGAGGGGAAATCTATATTCTCCTTCTATATTCTATGTTACTACATTCAGAATGTCAGTCCAAGCATTCTACTCCCAACGCCGGTTGATTCATGATGCCCACATTGGCCTAAGTTTATGTTTCACTGTAAGATTATTGGTTGCATTTTCCCCGTTATGTACATTTTTTCTCCCCATACACATTTTCAACAGTTGGGAACGCAGTGCAGCCCATGAAAGACACCCTTCTGTTTCCCAGGATTTTGCAGTAGCAAACCTGGCAGCCAAAGGGAGCAATCGGACCAATTCCTGGACTTGAAGTACGTGCAACAGGAAATCTCCGGCGCAAAGCAAGAGCTTGGGTTCATTCTGAAGTCATTTTAGGCAATAATAAACCTGACAAGAAGGATCTATTGCATTTCCCGTCCCCTTTGCAGAGCTCACCAATGGCATCACCCTCATCAGGAATGCCCCAGACAGAGTCGGTTGCTATGGGCAACTATGGCAAGGCACCAGTTTGAACTACATGCACAGTCCACAACCATCACTGTAATGTATAACCACGAATTCAATAATATTGTTTCCACACAGTGTGATTATTAAATAGATTAAGTAAGTGCTCATTTTGGAAAGGTTTAATTGAATAGATTGAAATGCAGGGCCTGCCTTCTTCCCTTTCCCTTCTCTTCCCCTCCTTATCTTCCTCCCTTCCTTCCCTTCCCCTCCCTTCCCTTCCCTTCCTTTCCCTTCCCTTCCCTTCCTCCCTTCCTTCCCTCCCTCCCTCCCTCCCTCCCAGAGGTGGTCTTCAGCCGGTTCTGACCAATTCTGGAGAACCAGTAGTGAAAATTTTGAGTAGGTCAGAGAACCAGCGAATCCCACCTCTGACTGGAGATTTTACAGTATCCTTCCCCTGCCACGCCCACCAAGCCACGCCCACAGAACCGGTAGTAACAAAAAAAAATTGAATCCCACCACTGCCTCCCTCTCTTCCATGTTATATTGCTCTTTCCACACTTTTCTGGCACAATATTTGAATATCTGAGACTTCTGGATTGGGAGAAGAGGCCAAGAAGCTCTGAGCACAGATTTCAGCGAGGAGCTGGCATTAAATCCTCTCCGATGACGGATGAACTGCACATATCTGTTTCCCATAGGAGAGATTGGTAGATCTACGAGACAGATTACTTCCCAGCACTGAAGGGAGACCATACTAATCAAACCACGGACGGCATCTGACAAGGGAGCAAATCCGATTATTTTGAAGCTCCTCCGGGATTTTTCTCCAAGGAGAACGTCTCCATTCAGATGCAGGATGTTAGATCGGGTAGATCGGTTCCAGTCAGAGACGCGAGACCAGTGCACTTCAAGCTCTTTAGTTTATGTTAAGATCTGCACAAGATCTTGGAGCCGCGGCAGCCCTTCATATAGGGATTGCTCGCGGCTCGTCGGCCAATGACAGTACTTTGAATCTCCCGCGATCGGCTCGGCCAACCGCGGTCGATTCCAAGTAAGCCAATCAGAATGCAGTTCGTGTGGACCAATCAGAATTTACCTTTTGGAGTATGTTAATACAGAACACAGGAAAGGGGAAGAGCTTTGGCTGCCACCTTCTCCTTGCCTTATTTTCAACCCTCCTATGGATGCCTGGCTCTTTTATGGTGGGTTCCCCCCCACCCTGTTTTTTTCCTTTTTGTTTCCTCAATGTTCTCTATTTCTGCTAACCTGTAATTCCTTCTCTTGTCTCAAGATATTTAGGTTATCAAGCCTTCATTCCCCAGCACCTGAATTCCTTATTAGGCCAGATCAACACAGCCAAAATTTAATGCTGCAATGGCACTAGGTGTGTGTGTGTGTGTGTGTGTGTGTGTGTGTGTGTGTTAAGAGAGAGATGGCCATGATGACAAGAGCCTGTGCCACTTCCCAGGCCTTGTTCATGGCAAAAAGAGAGAAAGAAACCAAGAACAGGAAAAGTAAATGAAGGGTTGCAACCAACTTGTCCAAAATGACCCAGAGTTGGAGGATTTAACCTTCCCAATTTGGACTGGGAGGAAAATCTGGAAAGGATCTTTTAAAGGACCAAAACGTTTGGCTGGGAGTCCCAATTGGAGGATGAGTCCATCTCACAGGCTTCAATGTTCAGTTATTCCTAGAAAACTCAGAGGATTTATTTATTTGATTTGTCATTTGGTTACAAGATAATAGGTATAAGGATAAACATAGTTATGAATACAAGAAATGAGTACGTATAAGAAAAACACACACAATAGGACAGGGATAGTAGGCACTTTGGTGCGCTTATGCTCACAGAATCACAGATTAATTTAGAGATCTATCTATCTGCAATTGGCTACCTGAGTCTGCACTGAAAAGCTTCAGTCCTAAGGAAGGTTCAGCTCTGTTTTTAGATTAGCTAGAAAGCAAGAAATCCAAGGATTTCCTGTTTTCTAGCTAATCTAAATCTCCCAGCAGAGCAGAACAGCTGATGGTCAGGGGAAAAAAAAAAGTAAAATAGCAACTTACCAAACCAAGCAAGTTGGATGGCTCACATGCCAGGTAAAGAGTGAGAGGGCGGGGAGGGGCGGGGCCAGTCAGTGGAGTGATTTGCCGGTTCTCCAAACTGGGGACAATTGTGTGTGCAGCGTTTGCAAGAAATCATCAGCTGTGCTGCCTGGACAGCTGACAAGCGCTGTGCTCGGGTGCGCAACATTTGAAAATCCTCGTTTCCTGCTTTTACAACCTCAGCTGTGCCGCGCAAAGCAGCTGAGGAGGGAAAAGAAGGGAATAAAGGACAGCCTAGAGCCCGGACAGGCAGGTGGGCCAAGCAGTGAACTGGTTTGGTGTCAGCTGCTCTTTGCAGTTACGGGTCCTATGGAACCAGGCTGAACCAGTAGTATCCCACCCCTGTCCCGCTCCGTCAGCTGTTCATCTTCCTCCTTGGATTCAGACTCCGACAGTGGCATGACATTTCCATTATGGGTTTTTCCCATGTAATTTCCCAGGAAACATAGATATGGCACACTGGAAAAGTTAGTGGCCTCCGAACTCAACTGAATCAATGTCTTCCTTGGGAAACAGACACAGCGAGACGATTATACCTCACACAGGATCTAAAGAGATTTGAAGGCTAAACGTTCTCCTTTCTAGGGCTCTGGGGCCTTCAAGTTTTATGTTGCTTTTCAAGACACCGAGAACTTTAATAGAGGTAGTCCTCGATTTACAACAGTTCATTCGGTGACCGTTCAAAGTTATGATGCCACTGACAAAAGTGACATGGCCATTTTTGCAGCATCCCCATGATCATGTGATCAACATTCAACTTATGACCTGTTGCAGCCTCTTGGGGCCGTGTGATTCCTTTTTGCGACCTTCTGACAAACAAAGTCAATGGGGAAGCCAGATTTGCTTAACAACAGTGTTAAGAAAGGCTGTAAAATGGGGCAAAACTCACTTAACAAATTTAGTTTAGTTTAGTTTTTAGTTTACTTTATTGTCATTGCACCTCGTACAATGAAATCAAACATCATCTTCAGTGCACATCATGACCATGAAAATAAACACAAACACACATCCTTCACACTCCACACATTGAACCGGAAACCCCCGACACCACACCAACACATACAGCAGAATTCAAAAGAGCTACTGTCCTGGGATAGAAGCTGTTTTTCAACCTATTTGTCCTTGTTTTTATTATTCTGTACCGTCTGCCAGATGGTAATAGTTAAAAGAAAAAAGGGTGCCCAGGATGAGATGGATCTTTAATAAGAATGTTTTGAACTTTCTTAAGGCAGTGGAAGCTATAAAGCTCTTCCAAAGAGGGGAGAGGGCAACCCATGATTCTCTGGGCAATGACGTTAACTCTCTGGAGTGCTTTCCTATCTGCCACTGTGCAATTGGCAAACCATACAGAGGTGCAGTAAGTTAAAATACTCTTTATGTTGCAGCGGTAGAAGGTCACCAGCAGTTTTTCGTGCAGTTGTTATTTCCTGAGAAGCTTCAGGTAGTATTATCTCTGCTGGGCCCTTTTAGTTTAGTTTAGTTTAGTTTATTGTCATTTTACCTCGTACAACGAAATCAAACACCATCTTCAGTGCACATCATGACCATGAAAATAAACACAAACACACATCCTTCACACTCCACACATTGAACTGAAAACCCCTGAAATTTCATTCATATTGCACTCTATAGCAGAATTCAAAAGAGCTACTGCCCTGGGATAGAAGCTGTTTTTCAGCCTATTTGCCTTTGTTTTTATTATCCTGCAAAAAAGGGTGCCCAGGATGAGATGGACCTTTGAGAATCTTTTTGAGAATTTTCACTGAACAACATAAATTTTGGGCTCAGTTGCACTTATACATTGAGGATTACCTGTATGCAACTCATTATGCTGAGCATACTGAATAAATATTATGTATTTATACCTATTTTCTTTTTCACTTTGTGTTATGGAGAATTAAAGTGCTGTCAGACCATACAGTAGCTGGGAATGCCTTCAGTTATATAGTTTGCCAACAATGAATAAATGTTTACATTGTATAGACCATGAAGATTTTTAGAATTTGACTCATTTAAGACAGATGTTTTAAAATGTCTTTGAAGATCCATAAGCATAAAAATTAACTTTTCTGGACTTTGGAGCTTCACTGGAAGCCAAATCCTGAACTCTGGGCCAGTTTCTGACTTCCAGAACCTTTCCTCTTTCAGTAGGCTTAAAATAAAAAATAAAAAGTTGTGCAGCTCTCCCCTTGTGAAAGCTGGTGTTGAAACAAGAGTGACATAAAACCCCTCCTTCCATCCCTCACATCTCGTGGAACAGTCACAATACGTTTCCCTTTCATTTAGGGGATACCGTATCAAGGCAGGATGCATCCCAGCCTGTTGCTTCCCTATGAAATTAGGCATCGAGCGTTGTATAATTTTGAGATACCCTAAGAATACAATGTATAAAACCAGTAATAACATTCTGCACGTGTTAGCTTTGGCTGGCACCCCCTAGTTTTGTATTTTTTTCCTGGTGGAGATATTCATTTTCAAACCAGATGCTGGCTGAAACAAAACCCCAAGCTACTTTTATCCAGTTAATAGACAGAAAAATGTTTAAAATTGTTGGGTTCAATCAAAAGCTCCTGAGTCTGTTTTTTTCTACAGAAGCAAAACCACTGACATGGCCTTGAACTGAGCAATACTAGGCTATTCAGGTAAATACAGGTAGTCCTCGACTTATGACCAGGAGTGGGATGCTGCCGGTAATAACAACCTGTTTGGTGATTGCACCTGATGCGCGTGCACGCACCTGACGTGCACACTGTACATGTGTGAACCGCACTGCAAAAATCCTTACCTGCAATGTTACTTTGGGTTAGTTAACTCAGCTGAGGAGCGGCACTCCGCTCTTCCATGCTGATCAGCTGGGATGATAAAGGTCAGTACAGCACAGGGACAGGTGGGTGAGCCCACACGATCGTTGGAGCGAACCGGTTCGCTCCCAGCTGATCTTCAGAGCTCGGGGTTCACCCAAACCGGTCCAAACCGGCAGAATCCCACCCCTGCTTATGACCAAAATTGAGCCCAGGATTTATGCTGCTGAGGAAGAAAGTGAGTTGGGTTCCGTTTTATGACTTTCCTTGCCACGTTCGTTAAGTGAATCCCTACAGTTGTTCAATGAGTCACAGGGCGGTTAAGGGAATCTAGCTTCTGCCGTTGACTTTGCTTGTTGGAAAGTCACCAAAGATGGTCACTTAACCTCCAGGACACTACAACCGTCGTAAATATGAACTAGTTGTCAAACCTCGGGAATGTAAATCACGTGACCACGGGGAATGCTGCAAAAATGGTCGTAATTGTGAAAAACGGTCGTTAAGTCCCTTTTTTCAGAGTGGTTGTCACTTCGAACGGTCACTAAATGAACTGTTGTAAGTTGAGGACTCCCTCTATTTCCAGATTTTCCATCTTCAGTCCTGTAAAAGTCAGTGTCAAGTGCTCCCAGGTCTTTTAGATTCAAGAATGTTATAAGCAAACTTAGTACAATCATTCATTTAGCAACAGTTTGAAGTTACAAGGGCAGTGAAAAAAAAGTGACTTACATCTGGGCCTCACACATACCCCACAGTCATGTGACTGTGGAAGCACACCCCACAGTCATGTGATCAAAATTTGGGTGCTTGGCAACTGGCTTGTATTTACCTGGATGACGTTCCAGTATGCATGAGCCAAAGGTGTTCTCAAAGTGTTAACGCAGCTGCATCCTTTTCAAGATCTGTGCAGCTTCTTTGCAAGCTGCTCCCCAGCTGTTGGAAAGTATCCACACCACTGCCAGCATCTCAACCACTTTCTTTCCTTAGTCTTCCCAATGCCTCATTGTCTGTATCTCTCACACACGTCAGGGCACAGGGGTGGTATTCTACCGGTTCGGACCGGTTCTATAGAATCGGTTGTTATGATTCTGCACAGTTTGGAGAACTGGCAAATCATGCCCCTGGCTGGTCCCGCCCCTCTCTGCCCACCCCTCCCCTCCGCACCCAGTCCTTTTCGCACATGCGCGACATCACACACATACCCGACATTGCTGACTGCATTCTCCCCCACCCAGTCACTTCTTAAGGTATTTCTTTTTTTTCCCTCCCGATGATCAGCTATTCTGATGATCAGCTGTGCTGGGATCCCCCTCACTGTCTTACTGCTTCACCCAGGAGGCTTCCCTGAGGCCCAAGAGGCAAAAAGGGGCGTGCAGGGCAGTGCTGCACCCCCATCTGTGCTCTGTTTTTGGCCTTCCTGAGCCCCAAGGAGCCTTCTGGGAGCAAAAATGCCCCCCCCCGGAGGCAAAAAAAGGAGGCCCAGGAGGCAAAAAAAATGGAGGGGAGGTGCTGAAAGAAGAAAAGGAAGAGGAAGAGGGGAGGAAGAGGAGGAGGAGGACAATGAAGAAGAAGAAGAAGAAGAAGAAGAAGAAGAAGAAGAAGAAGAAGAAGAAGAGGAGGAGGAGGAGGAGGAGGAGGAGGAGGAGGAGGAAGAAGAAGAAGAAGAAGAAGAAGAAGAAGAAGAAGAAACACCCATACCCACCTAGCCATGCCCACAGAACTGGTTGTTAAAAAATTTGAATCCCACCCCTGTGTGGGCACACCTATCCTTCCCTATGAAAATCTACTTTGCCCCTGAGACCTTTTTCATTTCCTCACAACAAAACCTTTTTATCTTGTTTTGCTCAAGCAGAACATCATTCAGTCCATAACCATCCATGTACAAGCTGCAATCGTACTGTCCAGATGTGTGTTCCCAATTTAGCAATCCCTGGACCTCCCCTCCCTCAAACCATATCACCCTTCTCCTGTGTAATATACCTTTCTTCCGGCTTCATTGTTGTGCAGATTCATCAGCCTCCGAGCGCTCTTTCGGATTTCTCTGGCATCAACAAACCTTTTGGAGAAGTCGATGCCGTATCTGATATCGGCAGAACAGCCTCCCCACTTCCACCCTTCCTCCTGGTTGTAATAACCTTGTTTCTCTCTGTCACAACCACAACTGCTGAGGTTCCCCTGGCTGCAGGCAGCCGTGATTGCATGGGCGACGCCAGCGGCAGTGATGGCATAGGTGAAGGCAGCTTCTTTGCTTCCTGTGGGGACAACGTAGGAAAAAAAAGGGAGGGGGGAAAATCAGCTGGAAGATCACGAGAAACTCAGTCCTTGGACATCTTGAAAAATTGCACATTTTAGGAGCACACATAGCATTCATTCTTGTACCAGTGTTTCTTTAAGATGGGTGGACTTCAACTCTGGGAGATGAAGAGAAATCTTGAGAGTTGACGTTCTTAGAACTTCCAAGTGGCCAAAGGTGGAAAAAACCTGCCTTACACTATTAGTTATGATATCCACTTACCTGAAACTGGCCCAACTTATGGGCTGGTGATAGCGGTGAGGAAGCTTCCATAAATTAAGAAAAAAATTGAATCCAACCATCTTTTTTATTCAGTTCAATATGAAACTTCCAAATGGGCAGATGAGATCAGTTTGATGCAATTTAGAAAAAGGCCCTTGTGAAAGAAGTTTGAAGATCTTTTGCTCAAAGCTTATCTTGCCCAATTCGATTGGGGGGCTTTGGAAAGCTGTTCAGTTTTGGAGACCTGATCAATCCCATTTTCAGTCAGCTTGCTGAACCGACTGTACTTGCGTAGACCTAAAACTCGGATTTGAGTTGTTTGAGGGCAGCAATGAAGGCTGGGAAGGGCTGTTTAGCATTGCCTACTAACAGGGCCAAACCCAAGGATGACATGGCAAAATCCTATCAAGTCTATTCCTTTATTTGCTTACACGTAATAGACAGAATCATGCCAGACTAAAGTTATACCATTCTAACCTACAAGATGCATACTGAGAGATTCTAGGGTGTGACTATCCTAAACCTCTTCTTCCCTCCCCTATCCAGCTCAGGACTGGGAAGTCTCTTATTGTAGGCTTCTCGCTAGTATGTACTACCTCCTCCCCAAAAATTGTGATGCTCTTGCAGAATTTCCCCCCAACCTTGTCGGATAAAGAGCATTCCCTCCTAGGGATCTATAAGAGAGAATATAGTCCACAGCTTCATAACAGGCAGAGAAAGAAACTCAGAAAGGACCTTCCTAAATCCTCGGGTTGTAAAAGACTTGCAGGATTTGGTTAAATGTAGCCTTACAATAAAGTAGAATTAGTTCATCTAGTTGAGTTTCCTATTTGATCTGAGAAGACTAACAATACATCACCTTTTCAAGGTATTTGAAGAAGGCTAATATACTCTCCGAGAGCCAGTTAGATACAGGCATGAGGCCAGAAACCCTTCTTCCAGTCAGTTTCAGTTTGACTAGTTAGATTCACTAGAGAGAAATGTTCAGGGATGTTCAGGACATACCGCTGTGTTCCACTGCTTACTTGCTTTATATTACCCAGAGGTGGGTATTCAGCAGGTTCTGACCAGTTCTGGAGAACTGGTAGCAGAAATTTTGAGTAGTTTGGAGAACCGGCAAATACCACCTCTGACTGGCCCCACCAACCCCATCTATTCTCTGCCTCCCATTGAGTCCCAGCTGATCGGCTGGGTCTTCTTTGGTTGCCCTGCACAGGAGAACAGAGCTGGAAAGCAGGTTAGTGGGGTGGGGAGGGAATGGAGATTTTGCGGTAACCTTCCTCTGCCATGTCCACAGAACTGGTAGTAAAAATTTTTTGAATCCCACCATTGATATTACCCTGATTGCCTTGAGAGAGAGAACAGAATGATGGATACGCAACTTTCTAAAATTAACTTGCAATTACTTTTGTGAAATCAAAAACTGGAAAATACTTCGCTGTCTTGATCTACATATGAATAGTTTGCTCTTGATCACTATCAAAGCACCAGATTAATATGTTATTTATATTTAATATTTATTTATTTATTTATTTATTGTATTGATATTTATTTATTCATATTTCCACAGAATATTATCTCCGATTGCTTCCTTGATGTTATCCAAGTCTGGATGATGTTCAGCCTTTCTCCTGGAATAATGGAGCTATTCTCCTTTGCAACTGATTCGATCTGATGAAGGAATTCTACTACTGGCATCTGGATCCTTGTTCAGTGTGATCATCCTTAACCCAGAAATTAAACGCCAAATAAAAGATCTCTTTCCAAGTCAGAGTTTCAGATTTAACTCTTCGCCCCCCCCCCCTTCTGTAAGGCCTGAGCTTTCTGAAAACTGGAGCCCTTCCAGAAAAGGGTGGGAATTGTGTCTGAGAGGTGAAAGTTTGCAATGCGAAGATGAGGAAACCGTCTGAGTGTTCCAGTCAGGCAGCTGGATTTTGGACCCAATCTGTGAAATATTAGAAACATGGGTGTAGCCGTATATGAAACCTCTAATTAAATCAACAAAAAATATATAGTTTGAGATGGATGCTGAAGTTATGGGCTTGTGGTCTGAATATCAACCTTTCCACCCTGCTAAGCAACCCCTTTTGATAAGGTTCAAGTGAAGACAGAAGACACTCCAAACCCTCTGGGACCTTGCTTGATGATCTCTGGGACCTCACCAACAAAGCCTTGAAGTCTCTGACATCATATATCCAGTTCAGCAGCGGTAAGTAGCGCCCCGCTTTGGAACTGCGGCTGGTCCCCAGAGATCATCAAGCAAAACCAGAGAGCGAGTCTAGGAAACTTAACGTGCAACGTTTCTCTTTCCTCAGTAACCCAAAGGAGCAGATTGCTTGCAGTCTGAACCATGTTGCTTCTTCCAAACCTTTGCGTTCATTTCCAACGTTAGAGCAGAGCTCTGTTTCACTCTGGCAAATGGGTTTTGCTCAAAGGACGTTTCTGCTTAACTCTAATACCATGATATGGATAACTGCGGAGTGAAGTCATCAGCTGGGTGGAGAAATTCAGAATCCTACCTTGCATAACTTTCTCTCAACCTATCTGACTTTACAAAAAAAGAAAGAAAGAAAGAAAGAAAGAAAGAAAGAAAGAAAGAAAGAAAGAAAGAAAGAAAGAAAGAAAGAAAGAAAGAATCCTTAGAGAAGGTGGGGAGATGACAAACCTAAGGATAATCCCCAAAGACAATGCGTTGTGTGGGAGCCCTGGTGATCCAGTGGTTAGAGTGCAGCACTGCTGGCTAACTCTGCCCACAGTCTGGAGTTCAATCCTGACAGGGGCTCAAGGTTGATTCAGCCTCCCATCCTTCTGAGGTCAGTAAAATGAGGACCCAGATTGTTGGGAACAATATACTGATACTGTAAACCCCCCAGAGAGTGCACTATGGGGAAGTATATAAGTCTATTGCTATTGCTATCATGGTAGAGGTCAGGGTTTCATTGAGGGCCGCATCAGGGTCTGGTTGACCTTGGGGTGGGGGCGGGGTCAACTGGGTAGGTGTGGCCAATTGGGTGGGAATGGCCAGCTTGACGCCACTTCCCAAACGGCTGGCATATTTCCTCTTCGTATTGGGTAGGCTGGGCTGAAGCCACTGTCAACTCATAAAACATTTTGTATACACGTTTTATAGTTGTCAACAGAAAGAAGGGGGTGGGGGGAGTTTCAAAGAGCAGGCGGCAGTGTGGAATTGAAAGTACATTCCACTCATATTTTCTTCAAAGACTGATTAGATGGCTGAAGCTTCTGCCATGAAAAAATCTAATTGGAGAGCATGATTGATGACTCTTGGCTTTGGACATGTTTCATTGGATGATACACCCAGAGGGGTGAGAGGGAAAACAGGATCAAGGGTAACAGTGAATTGTGTATCTCAGACTTGGCTACGCCCAGGCTAATGCTGGAATGTTAACTTCTAATAAATCCTTTTTAGTTTTGGGAGTGTGGCTCGAGACTCATGATTTAATTTGAGTAACTGCCGGAATCCTGACAGCCACGCTGGCCTGATCTTTCCTCTTTGCATTGGGTAGACCAGGGCAGCCCCATGGGCCAGATCTGATCATATTAGAGGCCGGATCCAGCCCGTGGGCCTTGAGTTTGAAACCCCTGGTAGTGGATAAAGGGCTCTGGACTTTTCTTCTGAACATCTAGTCAAGTTGTGTGATGCAAACTCAGGACAGTTGCTTGGTCCCTAGAGAACTGCTATTGTGGCAATAAAAAGTCCCCCAGCATAAATACAAACCAAAGAAAGTCCAGTTGCCTCATGAAAAAAAAGCACTTTTGGAAAACCAAGCAACTATATTTTGCTTTTTTTCATGACTCATCCATTCTTCACAAGCCAATTAATTACTATGGTCATTTCAATGACATACCTTTTAATTTTCACATCCTTTAACAAGCCCCGGTGACCCACTGGTTAGAATGCAGTACTGCATGCTAACTCTGCCCACAGACTGGAGTTCAACCCTGACAGGTGCTCAAGGTTGACTCAGCCTTCCATCCTTCCGAGGTCAGTAAAATGAGGAGCCCAGATTGTTGGGGAGGAGGCAATATGCTGACAGTGTAAATTGCCCAGAGAGTGCTGTTAAGCACAATGGGGCAGTATATAAGTCTATTGCTATTGCTATTATGGTAGAGATAAGAGTCTACCCAACAAATTAATTACTATGGTCATTTCAATGACATACCTTTTGATTTTCACATCCTTTAACAAGACCTCCCATTCATCGGGTCCATCTTAGAACCATTATTCCAGATGATGGAAAGATATCTTCAAAGAACAAAACTCGGGGAAATTATCTTTCCATACAGAGTTGTCCATAGTATGCGGTAAAAAGCAGAGATGGTATTCAGCAGGTTCTGACCAGTTCTGAAGAACTGGTAGTGGAAATTTTGAGTAGTTCGGAGAACGGGTAAATCCTACCTCTGACTGGCCCTGCCCCCATCTATGCCCCGCCTCCCATTGAGTCCCAGATGATCAGCTGGGTCTTCTTTCGTTGCCCTGCACAGGAGAATGGAGCTGGAAAGCAGGTTAGTGGGGTGGGAAGGGAAGGGGAATTTTGCCATGCCCACCAAACCACATCCACCAAGCCATGCCCACAGAACCAGTAGTAAAAATTTTTGAATACCACCACTGGTCAAAAGGTCACAATCAATGGTGGGTTTCCAAATTGTTTCCTACCAGTTCTATTTGCGGTTCTATGCACGTGCGCTTCTGCTACCGGTATACAATCTTTGCTA